TTTTTTTTTTTTTTTTTGTGAAACAGGAAGACAATGATCATGATCTCATATCAGTAAGACGTATAACTGCCACCCTTATAAACACAAAATTAATGTAACTTTATATACATTTTATTTTCAAAATACAACCATTGATAGACATAATTAAATCACTACAAATAAATCATTTGTGAAACAGGAAGACAATGATCATTGAATTAAAGAGCAACAGCCAAAAGCAGTCAGTCCATATGATTTTATAAACATAGCATTCACGTATTATTATGCTTCATAAAACAGAGGGTAGTAAAGAAAGACTAAAACAAAGTGTGCCTTGTTTTTTTTTTACTACAGAGTAGCACGATTGGCAAAAACTAGATAGTTAAACTAAAGCATGTGAGAAAGCACAATGGGACTTCGGACTGATGTCCAGAGTTTCCAACAACAACTATTCAACTATAACTGGAGCTACAATAATAAAGTTCAACAAAACAAAAATAACATAAACAACAAATATTCACTGAAAACAGCAACTATTCCAAAATTGAGGGGCCTGAGTGAAGACGAAAACAATCAAAAGTAAGCACACTCTTTCCACCTGTTCAGGGAATCCTTTCAAATTTCAGTTCTTGGCTGCCTGACAATGATCAGATTGCTTACAATATAATTGTTATTATCTCCTCTAGGTGGCTTTTTGTCACTGAAGAAGACATCATAACCTTACCTTGCTTCCAGGTATAAATTTTGTAGGTATTTGTGTTTGTGTGTTTCTGTGTGTTGCAATTTCTTAATGCTAAGATGTGTTCTTGTTCTTTCTATCAGAATCAGAATGAAACTCTCACAGCAATTAAAGCTCCTCATGGTACGACTTTAGAAGTTCCAGACCCCGATGAGGTACTTATTTGCAATTTATTTTTTTTGGAGTGTAACTCAGGACTTACAAATAGTTCCAAGATAAACTCCATTTCAATTCGTCTTCTTTAACCCCTATAGTTTCTAATTGAAAAGAAGAAATCGTTAATAATATTACATTCCACAAATGATATTATTTTATCAATGCAACTATTTATTTTAGGAAATACTATATATTACATTCAAATATGCATAGTTGGGCTATGATTAATTGCCTGCTCTTATATAATTTGGGCTCTTCAGTAAATGGAGTTTACAGATCCATAATTCAACAAAGGTCAAACCAACGTCCAGTCCACCACTGGTCCAGTCTCTAAGCAGTCAATGTCATGGACCATTTTTATATACAAAATCACACTCCAAATAAATTAAATAAAGCACGGTCACTGAATATAATAAACTAAATGTTATGTTATCCCAAGTAAAAAACATATTGTACCTCCAACTATCCCAACAGTTATCCTAAGTAAAAAAACATATTGTACCTTTGATTGATGTATCCTGAAGGTTACCAGAGTCTTCAGCTGCATTCAAATTATGATTTTGGTTGGAAGCTTCAAGGGTTTGCGGAATGCCACTCTCATTAGTGTGATTTACTGTAGTATTATCACCTTCTCCAGAAGAACCATGGTGAACTTCAGAAGTTCCACTTGCTCCAGTCACTTCAACTCCAGCAGTCCCTTCAACTCCGGCAGATGGCACATTTGATGGCGCATTTGATTGGTTAAGATGTTCTCTGACTCCAATACGAGCAGATGCAGCATTTGAGCTATCCTTGGAAGCTTGGTTAAGCATGCTTTGTAGAGAAGCTTTTGAAATAATTCTAGGTTTACGAATTCCTGGCGCCATTCGTAGAAATCTACATAAGACAACAAAAATTTTGTCACTGTAACATCAAAGCTATTATGTAATATCCCGATATTTTATCGGTATAATTATGTTTTAATTCTGATATAATAATGTTATCGATTATTATTTTCAGAATTAATTATGTTCAGTCGTTAATACCGAAATCTATTTTCGACGTACCGTTTACGTTCGAAATAATTTTGGTAATTCAGTATTATGTTTAATTAAATGATTAAACATAAAATAAGTGATTAATTATGAATTAATCACAAGTTAAGGCCCATTAGCCGTGAGATGTTAAGAATTGGTCCCAATTTTTGGGTTAGGCCGTGAGCATGGGGAGTATTAGGCCCAATGGTACTCATTATTTCCTTAAGGCTTAAGGATACTTCTTTCCTTCACATATTAGCCCTTACACGTGTAAATTGAGGAGAGTGATTAATTATTTATATGGTGAACATTAGACAAGAAAGTGGCAAGCATGGGAGTTGGCCACGTCTCACACCTATCACCTCATTTCCCTCACGGCATCTAGTATATAAGGAGTATTTGAACCCAAATTTTCCCCTCAATTTTCCTTAGCATATTCAGAATATAAAGCCCCTTCAAACAGCAACTTAGTTTAAGCAATTCCCTAAGATTTTCCTCACATATCACACGGCAAAGCAAGAGTTATCACACGGCAAAGGAAGCACAATCGCACGACAAGCGCAAGAGTCATTGATCACGCCCTATTTTCGGATTTCCGTCGAGCGATCGGAGAGGTAAATCCTCCTACAGCTTATATCCTTGTTCATTAAGTCAGGTTAAGGTTTAGGGTTAGGATTATATTTGAGAAATTTTAAGAAAACCGTGCATATAGCCGAGCATGTTTAAGTAAGATCATTACCGAGTAATTCTCGATTTTTCCCGGCAACTCCTGAACTGTTAATG